AGCGTTCTCCCAACAGCCTCTACAGAACTGCTTTAAAAGCTGTTGGTCAAACTCTGGAGCGGATACACCACCACGTTTCATTGTTTTGCTCAAAGCAGTGTGCAGTCTCTGGAACGTGCTCATGAACCTAGCATAAAGCTCGTCACCATCTTCAACTGTCCCGTAGGCGGAGTCAAGCAACTTGAGATAAGTTGAGGGACTAGACTGTGGGCTCAAATGTTTAATCATTTCAGAAGCAGGAGGAAGAAGACTGTCTAATATACGATGTGTGCAATGCAAGTCTGACACAGTTGGATCTCTGATGAGAATTTCAACACTTGCACGCCATGTATCATAATCTGCTTCATGGCTTGGACTTGGACTCTTGCCTGAAAAAGCTCTGAATCTCCTGGGTGAAGCAAACTGGGTGAGTTGTCATTGCTGCGCACCACATGCTCAACCACCACTCGCTGAACTGCATGTGGATTAGCATCGATTACTGGCGTAGTAGTGGTTTCAGATGAGAATGACAAAGTCTGTGGGGGGCTGAGATCTATAAGGTTTTTCTGAAAATGGAGGGGTTGAGAGGCTTACTTGGATCACTTGCTGGTGTCAAAATCGGGGAATCTGTAGGCATCACTGACTGAGGGTTTTCAGAAGATGGGGTATTTCTTTTGCTGGTTGAGTCTTTTTGTGGGATAGGACTCTGTGGAGCTGAGGATTCTGGATCAGTCTGAGGTGATTGCGCAAAGGAACTTGACAGATGAAACTAGACTTAAATTCCTCCTTCAACATTTCTCCTAGCGAACTTCCACTCAGCCTGGCAATTTCCCATTTTAGTAGCTTTGCTTCTGGCTTCTACGGTGTAGACACTTTCTAAAGCCTTTAACTCATACACAATGTCTGCTTGAGTCGTGCTTGGAAGCTGAAGAGGCAGCAATGGTTCCAATGTCTTCATGGCAGTTTCATGTGCAAACTCAATAATCATGTTTTTATGGAAACCTGATTTAGGATCATCTAAGTGAATGTAACGGTTAATGGAACCATACTTCTGGAGAAAGGTTGATACTTGCTCATCTGTCTCTGACCCTGTCAAGTCACGAACAACTAAAGAATGGGGTGGGTTACATCAGTGGTTCTCAAACATTTTTCAGTGATGTACCCCCTTAAAAATATATTTTTAGTCAAGTACCCCCTGACACGGCCAAAACATTTTTGGGAGAAAAAAAACAGTGCTGTAAAATCACTGTCTGATTAATTAAAGCCAAACACCTTATATCAGTGAACCTGACAAATACATCCATATTGCAAACATTGTATGTAGAAACAGAACACGGTGAGCACCAGGAAGGCATAAAACCAGTCAAAACTGAAATATGCAAAGCACTGCTAATTTATATTGGTCTCTGTAATGGTACAAAATTAAATATATACATAAATAACTAAAAAGTGTTCACAGAAATAAATCTATAACTTAATTATAAATAAATTATATTTTGTTTACAAAATAAATTAACTTAATAAATAAAGATTTGCTCACAAAAAAAAACAATAATCGTTACCTCTTTTAGGATATAAAAAAGAAGATTGCACTTTAATCACTTTGCATTGAACATTTGATTCGGTTTGAACAGTAAGTAACGGTGTCATTAGACAGTTTTTAATGTATCCGCTGATTTTTTTGTCCAGCATAGTTTCAACAGCAGCGGGGAGCAGCAGGTCTTCCGCTATGGTGAACGATTTATTGGCTTTAGCAACGAGCAAAGACACCGCGTGTCTTTAGTCGTTGCTTTGGCTGATGCAGTGGAGGCTTTTCGCATCGTGGCTTTGAATGACTTGAACTCAGAAAGTTTTCTCCTGAAGAACTCCGGTGTCTTACCAACATGGCGTCCATGTTTTGTGGTGAGATGCCGCTGCATGCTAGCCGGCTGCATGCTAGCCGGCTGCATGCTAGCCGGCTGCATGCTAGCCGGCTGCATGCTAGCCGGCTGCATGCTAGCCGGCTGCATGCTAGCCGGCTGCATGCTAGCCGGCTGCATGCTAGCCGGCTGCATGCTAGCCGGCTGCATGCTAGCCGGCTGCATGCTAGCCGGCTGCATGCTAGCATTGGCTAATTTCGTGGACGTAAATCCCATTAAAACATACTTTTTCATGTACGTTCTGTACTTCTTCGGCTCTGGTTTTGTCTTCTTTTTCACTTTATCTGAACTTTCAGCAGCATTGCTGCTACGCTTTAGCCAGTCTCCATAGTTACAGTGTAGTCATGGTAACAGTGCGCCGGGTCCATTTTATTTTAAAGGATATTGAAACTAAATACTGAATATAACATTCAGTGCATGAACACACCTTTATATTTTATCGAACTTCTTACAAAGTAATTTTTCTCAAGACTTATTATGAGGAGCCGACTGATTTTTTTAAAGATATTTTGAAAAGATTCACGTAACCCCTGCAGTACCTCCACGTACCCCCAGGGGTACGCGTACCCCCATTTGAGAACCACTGGGTTACATGTTCACCCCCCTGAGTTCGTACAATCTTTTTACATGAAGGTTTCGGTGCAAAGGTCATTTCAGCTTTTAGTTATTAAATATTTGCTCTGCGTCATGTTGGCGGAAAAACGTCCGTTTCTGTGTAGCAGCGATGATTCAGAAACACTCAGTTAACAAAGATGTTTAGTTTCAGTTTAATTTGAAACTGAAAAACATCTATTTGTTTCTCGTGTTAAAAGTAACAGAAAAATATGTTAATTTTTTAATAATTAAAACTTCTCTCTGTTTTCTGCATGAGTTTTAAACTAAAACTAAACTTTAAACTTATTAAGCGTCTGCAGATCTGATCAAAGTGAAACATTTTATTTTCCTCCATTTTGTGTTTCATCTGGACGCCATATTGAAATGATGATCATCTGTAATCATCACGTGATCAGAGATCAATAGTAACTAGTTACATTTACTCAGTTACATTAACTTGAGTAACTTTTTAGAACAAATGTACCTTTAGTTGTTTTTATTACTTTTACTTTTACTTGAGTTTTTTTTATTATGAAGTTTTTCTAACTTGAATCAAATTTCTGGATTTTCTACCCACTGAATAAAAACCAAACATGTTTTAACCAAGAATTAAACACAAACCTGCAGTTTTTGTTAAAGATGATGTCCAGCATCCTGCTGCTCCTCATCCTCAGCTCATGTCTCTGTGGTCAGTCTCCATCTTGTCTTTGTGACAGAAAGCTCTCTAGATGGAGCTGAAAGACTCCCATGTTCCAGTTCTCAGTGTGTCTGCTCCTCTCTTTCCCTCTCTGTCTCCTCAGCAGCAACATTTGTAGTGAATGTGACACAGAGCAGCTATCAGGCAGAGGAGAAGCAGAACATCACTCTGGAGTGGACCTTCACCACCAAGACTCAGGGAACCTGGAGGAATCTGTTCATCGTCTGCAGCTTGTTGGCTCCTGATAAACCGCGAGTTCTCTATCAGGTTCATGAAGGAGTTGAGATTCCAGAGTCTCAGGATGATCAGTTTTCAGGACGAGTCCAGAGCAACAAAGACGTCCTCAGAGAAGGACGAATCAGACTCCATGTGTCCAGACTGAGGACTGAAGACTCTGGTCGGTATCGATCGATGTGAAAAAGAAGATGGATTCAAACATGCATTCTGTCGACTTAATGTCTTTGGTGAGTTATTTATTAGTGTGTTTTTTTTTTTTTACTTTCTTTTAACTTTGTAGGTTTTTTTTTTGAGAATTAATGGAAACTATTTATTAGTGAAATGTTTTAGCTTCTTTTTATTAAAGCTCCAGTTTGATCACATTTCTAAGCTCTAGAGGTCAGAAGGTCGACCTCAGCATAGAGTTGTGAATTCAGCTGATCTAATAGATGAAAACTGATTCTATCATAATTCTGCTGAAGCCAAAAGTGCAACATCTTAATTTTATTTTATTATTAAAGTGAAACTCTGAAGGTAAAACTTAAATTGGTACAAGGGATAAATTATCTACAGTTTCTGTGCCAGCTTATATCATCAGTAGAAACATATTTAGTATCTTCAATACTTGGGCCAGTTCCAGTCTATGGGGCCACTGGCCCCTTTAGATTCATCCTGAGTACGGCCATGTAAAGGACTGGACTGATGTAACAACACATTTCCACAGGATGATGAAAGTAAAGGGTTCAGTGGATTTTCTGCTGAGAGCAAAACATGCAGCACTTTCTATGTTCATCTGTAAGCAAATATCGCTCCACAACCAAATGCTCAGCTGGAAGACAATAAACAGCAGATGATACATTTCATTCAATGTTTCCCAACAAATAAAATGTAGTGGCATCAAAACCTGCTGTGCATCAGAGCCTCCAGTCCAGGCTGGTTTGGTTTAGTGACCTGCTGCAGTTATTATAATCTGAATCTGATGATATTCATTCATGTCCTGAACTGATGCAAAGTTTCCCCCCATGGACAGACAGTTTCTCTACAGACATAACAATTAGAAGTAGCTGGATTTCTTCAGTAAAGAATAAAATAAATTAAGATCACAATGTTACTGGAAATCACCTCGACTCTTGACCAAGTCATGGGTTTCTGAACATATTGAAAGCAGCAACATTAGGTGGCGCTCTTGCACCGTTTCTGTTGGGATTTTTGTGACAATCTTAAAATATGTAAATTTCCTGAAGGTTTGATGCGTCTGCCAAGTTTGGTGAGTTTTCAATAAAGTAAAACCAAATCAACTAAAAGACTGTTAAAGGGAGTCCTAACTATTTTCTCCAGTAAAATATCTGGTTTTATTTTTCTTGAGTTAAACATCAGTAATTTTACAGAAGTAAATAAAAAATTAGTAGATTTACATTATAAACAAATAAAAAAAAACATTTATTTTGAAAAAACCTCTATTAATGGGATAGATTCATTGTTTCACAATTGTAAAGATCCTACAGGAGAATATATATGAATGTTATCTGAACAACAAACAGGAATATTAGTGTTGATTTATCATTATCTTTGTTTATTCTTCTATTTCCAGTGGTTGTTCATGCAAAGGTTGGAGACGACGTCATTCTGCCATGTCATCTGGAGCCTCCATTTGATTTGACCACATTTACAATCGAATGGAGATTCAAGGATGAAATAATCCATGTTCAACACAACCAAACTAAAGATGATGGAGCTTCAGATCCAAGTACCGTGACCGAACCTTCATGTTCCCTGATGAGTTTATAAATGGCAACATTTCCCTCAAATTGACCAAAGTCACCAAGGAGGATGAAGGGAATTATATTTGCTTTGTTCCCAAACTGCAAAGTCAAGCCAGGAAGGGAAACGTTACTCTAATACTTGGTGAGTTTTATAAAGTTAAGATAATTTAAGACAAACCAGATAAATATTTTTATGTCTTTAACACTTAATGTAATTCTTGAACAGATGAAAATGTTTAACTAGGTAACCAGTGGTTAGTGGCCCTCTGACTCAGTTTCAGATTTTCTTTGTTACCTGCAGCCATTGAGGCTCATTGGGTTGAATATTCATCTTCAGGCTTTTCCTGTTAAAACATGTTGATGTTCAGCTGGGAAGATAAAACCTGAAGACCTGTGTGTGTGTGTGTGTGTGTGTGTGTGTGTGTGTGTGTGTGTCTGTGCGTGCGTGCGTGCGTGCGTGTGTGTGTGTGTGTGCGCGCGCGTGCGTGCGTGCGTGTGTGTGTGTGTGTGCGCGCGTGTGTGTGTGCGTGCGTGCGTGCGTGTGTGTGTGTGTGTGTGTGTGTGATGCAGTAACTGTGACACCTGAATGATGAGGTGACTGTTTATTCACAACTTTGATCTCATTAATAAAACAAAAAGAGAAAAAATCTAATTCAAAATATTCAAAAGCGGATTGTTAAAAACACGTTTTTCTTTTTTGCCTCAGGACCTCCTAGAGTTTTTGTTGGTGTTGTTGTTGCACTCATCTTCTTCTTCACCGTCATCATCATCGTCGTCATCATAATCAAGCGATCTCAAATCCAGCGTGTTCTACGTCACTACAGAGGTGAACAAAGTAAGTCAGTCTTTGTCTTTTTAAGTCATGCAGGATTTTGTTAAATTAATGATTATCTCCATACATGCATATTTCCAATTGATAGAAAATACCAATTTATTTTCATTTGCAAAAACTGATCTGAAGCTAAATAGAAGTAAAACTCTTGATAAACATGAATAAGAAAAGTTTCACATATTTATCAATATCTATTGATCTTTGATGAGAAAAGAAAAGAAAACAAGAAACTAAACCATTATTAGTTTCCTTTTTTCTCTTTTGGTCTTTATTGTTTATTGTAGCCTTTCTGCCTGATCAGGTTGATTATTATTTCTACCAGTCAAAAACTGATAAGGAGAATTAAATATTGTCGCCTCATTTATATTGTGTGTTAACATAAATATTCACTGTTTACAGTTTTTCCATGCTGGAGGAAAAACTCTCAACATGAACCAGAGAGAAATGATGAAGGTATGGAAATGGATCAATTCCAGATTAATAACTTCTGTTAATTATTTCCTGTTTTATTTTCCTGCTCAGTGATAAACTAAGCAGTTACTTCATATAGATGTATGAATGTGTTTGTGTTGCTGCAGTCACTGAACATCACAGCTGAGCATCAAACCAGGAAGCTGAACTTCCTTGTTAGTGACTGAATGTGACTGACTAGATATTAGATCATTGATGTAGCAGCAATGAACTGGTGACCTGACTGGGTTCATCATGGCTCACCAGTATTCCCACTGACCTGAACAGGATATGAAGGTTTAGACCAGAGGGTCCAACCTGTGGATCCAGACGCACTAAAGAGAAACAGCCAGAAAACAACAACATTCATTCATAAAATGCTACAAATTAAACTATTATTTACTGCACATAACTCAGATTTTCTCTTCTTTGTTGTGTTTTCTTCAACAGAGAAGCTGATAGCTAATAAATCATGTTTAAGATTATAATTAGAGCTTAATGAGAGACATTTCTTCTGCCTTCATTAAAGTTATATTCTTTTAATCTGACATCTGAATATACATTAAATATTCAGTTTAATATGACCATGTTTACATTTTATTGTAATATGCTTTGGTTTCTGGATTGTTTTATTTTTGTCAACAAACATCTGGAAACAAATAAGAGAAAAATAATTTTAGAAAAAGTCAAAACTTTAATGCTTTACTTTATTTATTTTTTGCTGATTGATGATAATTTTATTTATAAAAACTAAAAATGACAGAATTCTGTTTTTATTCAGGTCATCTTAATAATATTGTAACTTTGGGAAATCAAACAATCAGATGATGTTCTTAATAAAATGTTTTGTGTTTTATAGATCGCAGAGAAAATGTCAATCCAGACGATGGAGCTGAAGGAAAATCTTTACAGGATCAAGGAAAACAAAACCAAAGAGTCTGAATCTTCCAGCCTGATCTAAAGTGTCTTAAACCATTGATGGTATGAAAACTGTTACATGTTTATAACTGTGAATAATAATATATAAACCCAGAAGGAAGCCGTTCATATTAATAATATTTTTATAGATTGAAATAAAAGATGCAAGAATCATGTAAGTTAAAGAACATCTTAAGTCCAAAGATGTTTCTGTAGTTCAGTTTCTTTCTCAGCTTTTGATAAATTATTTGTCTTGAAAAGTTTTTTTTAATTCATGCAAAAGTTGACAATTTGATCCCCAGCTTGAGCCTTCAAAAGGTTTTTAATTAATTTCTGTCAATAAATCTTATTAATGCTCTTATTACATGAATAACCCATATTTATGTATTTTATTATGACTTGCTGGTAGTTTTTAAATTTTAAAAAAACTTCTAGTTGTAAGTTGTTCGTTTGTCCGAGACTCTATTAAACTGCTGTTGTCACATTAAATATGTAAAAAGTCAAACTTTATACAACAAGTTATTATGACAACATTATTCAAAGTGTTAAACAATAAGGAGATCAAAACAAATCAGATTAAACAGTTTAAAAAATATAGTATAAAATTAATACACATAAATCAGAGGGAACAAATGTGACTTTAACTTAGAATCATTCAAAAACATGATTGTCTGATGTCTTGAAAGCAGACATGATGATGAGGCACAAAAGGAAAAAACATTCTCTCCAGATGTTTTCCTCTGGTTTTAGGACTTTTTAAAAGGTCAGTGTCTTAAGATGGGAGGACATGCAGTAGGACATAAAGCTGCAGAAGATCAGAAAACTTTCAGTCTTATAAATGAGCAGCAAAACGTTAAAGTCTGTTTGAACCTGAAGCAACCGGTGAAAAGATTACAGAAGTAGAAATGTGAGCATATTTCCTGGTTTTGGTAAAATGCAAGCAGCCACGTTTTGAACCTTCTGCAGATCCATAAAACTTTTCCTCAGTAACCAGAAAGCAGAGCATTGCAGTAACGATGCATGAAGACACTAATGGGTGGATAAGAACCTCTGCATTTTGATAAAACTTTAAATTCTCCTAAAAACATTTAAGTTTAGAGATGATCAAAGCCGGTCCTTGTTACCTCTGAAATGAGAAAGACTGAACCTCTCACCCACATTATTTACCTCATTCCTCCATTTTATGACAGTCATCAATTTTTAAAGTGAAATTTTAGAATTTATTTAGTTTGAATGAAAAACATCTGAGATGTTGATGCTTTTTAACATTCATCATTCAAACATAATCTTTCTGCTATACATAGAAAAGGAGACCAGAACCAGAGAGACGAGGAAGGAGCATCATCATCATCATCATCATCATCATCACTGTGGGACTGATAGTAACTTTAATGGTTCTAATGATAATATTGATGTTTTGGTTTAGGAAGAAAATGAGAAGAAGAAACCAAACTTTTTGACAAAGAACATTTTTGTTTGAACTTGTTTTGTTTGACATATTTTAATAATGACTTTGAGTCGTTTATTGAATATCTTCAGATTCATGTTTTAAATCATTTCTGTTCTATAACCAGAAACAATGATCTGTTTTTCTGTAACTCAGATGAATTTATTCCGTTTCACTTCATGTTTAGAGAAACCAGTGGTGACAACAGTGTTAGGAGTTTGTCCTGAAATTATCCTGTTGCTGGTTCAAATCTGCCTCTTTCTCAGTGTCTTTGAGCAAGGCACTTCACCTGCCTTACCTGCCAGTGGCATCAACCCACAGCAGCTGCTGCCAAATTGCTGCAGGGCAGCAGAGGCTGTTATCCAGTATTGGTCACCATCAGTGTATGAATGGATGAGTATGAATGGATGAATGACTGAATGCAGAGTGAAGCATTTTGGATTCAACTGGACTTGAAACAGAACCTTAAAAGTACAAGCCATATTTAATGTTTTATGGAAATAGTAAATTAGAGCTCTAATTTATTATTTAAACATTGTTATCAGTGTTGTATAGAAACAAAGTAACTTTCATATGAAAATTTTTGATAACTTTCACTTTTACTTCACTACATTTCAGAACTTAATTGCTCCGCTTCATTTTCAATGTGTTGTTTAGTTACTCGTTACAAAAAGTGAGAGAGAGAAACAAATGTTTAGACCCAACCTACTGATCGACTGCAACAAAGTCGGTAGCCGATTTGCCTGAGTTTGTTCATCTCCACCAATAGATGCACATGTTTCACTTCTCCCATTAAACATCAAGTTTACTAAAAAATCTCTCCCTCTTCAGATGCCAAATAAGCTGCATTTCCCTCCCAATTCTTTTTTCTTTTGTATAATGACCAGTTGATGCACCTATAGTTTGTGAAGTAGAGGAATCGTAACGGCTTTTTTTTCTTCATGTTGGCCGCATTTTCTGTGCTATTTATTTTTCTCATTTTCAGCACTGATAATACTGAAAGAAAAACTTAAGGCTTACAAAACCTTGTATTTTCTGTCCTTGTACTAAGAAGCAGGTTCATAGTGATGAGTCTGATGACACTGAAACCTCCGCGCATGCGCCGAGCAAACAAGGCGAAGCCCGTGTCGGTGCGCGTATCTCTTTAAGGAAAACCACGTGACCGATACAATTCCTGTGTCGTTTGGTTGTGAAGGCGCCAAATTGTATTTTGAACAGAAAATGTATTGACATGTTGGTGGGTTTTGTTGGATGGAGATAGTTTGTGTTGTTTGGCTTGTCAGTGAAAACTATGATCAATCGAGGAAGAGGAAGTTTTTCTTCCGTTTGATCATTTCGATCTTATCACGGAGAATAAGATCAATTATTATTCCGTTCTCGTTTCCACTATTGATCATTCTTCTGTCGGGTTATTCCAATTTCTTTCTGAAGAATACTTTAATTAGTTTACATGGATTAACTTTTATTTCTATTGTGGATTAAATGTATACAACAACGTGATTATACAACATCACGTTGTTGTATAAAATTGCACTAAATGTCGTCCTAAAAAAATCATTTTTAATACCAAAAAGGTTCAAATTGTCCATCTTGAACCTCTTACTATATTACGCTTTACGCAACTATATTTACTTTTTTAAACCGGTTTGAGGTCAAGAAGGAAAATCCATACAGCCAATATGGACCAGCAAAAGCAAGAGAAAATTCCCTAAAGCTTTTGGGCAAAATGAAAATGCTTTAAAGTGAATAATCGTATTATATTCAAGTTTCATAAAAAGGACCAGAAACTATTAATGTGTCGCTTCTCCGATGAAGGAATGTTGTCTGATTTGATGAATTTATGTATGATCGAATTGCACTTTCATTTTTTAAAGATAGAAATACGTCAGAAGGAAGAAACTGCAGCATTCATCTTGGCTAATTTGTAAACAGTTAAAAAAAATAATAAAACATACAAGTCAGTTTTTTTTTTTTTTGTTTTGTTTTCTTGGCGATTGGCCCAAAGATGTTGACGCAGCTGATGTTTCTATAAAAATGTATGAATGAACCTTGTTCAGTCTGTTTCCAGTCTTTATTGATGTTGCCTGCAATTACTTTTAAATCCAGCAGATGTCGCCATTGAGTGAGTCAGCAACACAGTTTGGGAAATGTGCCACACACCCAATGAGGCCTCATCTGCCCATCACTACAGTCCAGAGATCTGACAGCACCAAGTGATGCATTTAAGGACGCCTCGGGACAGACTGATTTAACGAGAAACACACAGACTGAACTTCTTACTGCGGTTTTTAAGAATATGCTTGATGAGATGCATCTGATATGTACAATAAAACTTTTTATTTTTGCTTGCATTTTTTTATTATAATCAGTTTAATTTGTCTCTAATAATTTCAACGTCCGAGGTTACCTGAACGCATGATTCATTTCTTCAACTCTGAACTTCCTGGTTTGTTTCCTGCTGTCAGAAACAAGAAGTCAGAGAAACATTTGCCCCTTTTAATGAATCAGTGACTCTTCATGTGTTCATAGAAGCTGTTTGATGAAATCAAGTTTTTATAAAAGAGACTCAAAGAGAAAAACAGACCCAGAGTCCTGGAGGAAAACTGATCATTTCTCAACTATTTTCCCTCCAGTTTTAACTTCAGGTTCCTCTAAAGTGTAAAACTGTCCAAAGTTGACGTGGTTCTAACAAATGAGGAAATCAATATTGGTGAACTATTGATACCGTCAGTTCCTCCATCTTCTTCTTCTGAGGATTTCTCCTCCAATCCAGCAGCTCCAGGTTGAACATGTGGATCCAGGATGAGGAAATAAAGAGTTGATCCGGTGTTGGATGTTCAGGTCAGCCTGTGATTAAATGTGACTGAATCCTCAGAGACGTTCAGTAAACATGTTCAGAATAAAACAACTAAAGAATCAGAGAATCTGAATCAGAGAAACTCTGACATTTGATCCAAACTGACCATAAAGGCCTTTTTCCATCCAGACTCATTTCCAGCCAATGATTCTCCTCTGATATCAGTTTTCCTTGTTTCCAGGCAGATTGTGTCTCTTCACAGGTTTCAGGTTCAGCTGCAGAGTTTCAGTCACTAAAACTGACTTTGTTCCTTTGAGCAAATTAAACTTCAGATCAACTAAACTGAACTGGAAAAGATTTGATTCTGTTTACTGGTTCTGACATGATCTACCATTTATATCTGATTAAACAATATTAATATGTATTAATGTGCAGATTATTGTGGCCCAAACTGAGGCTCAGGCTCAATTTATGGCTCTTGAAATGATTTTGTTTATTCAAACCAAGGTTTAAATCTGCTGCAGTAACTCAGGGATTACATGATTTTAAAAATAAAAATCAAAAATCTCTGAAAACTAGAATAACATAAAACTCTCTGAGAAAAGATGAAACTGTGAACTGGATGAATTAATTTTAGAGTTTTGATCGACTGCTGACAAAATAAGGACCTAAAAGTCTAAATGAATAATTTTATGAGTAGATTCTCATTTTCATGATAAAATTTGGAAAATGTAAAAAAAAAAAACAATGAAAGAATACATACTTATTTATTTATAGCTGTTAATCTAAACATTTCTGTACAACATTTATACTTCATAAGACATTAAAAGAATAAAAACTAAAAAGAAAACAAGCAGCAGATTTTATTAGAACGTTTTAACGACGACATTCAAAACTTAAAGCTTCTTTAAAAAGAGATAATTAAATAAAATGAGCTTGGAACCTCATTTAATCAGAACAAATCTGGTCATATTTACTGCAGTTCTTGGAAGAATAAATCATATTTCAGGTCTCAAATTTCTGCATATTCTATATTCCTCCATGTTTTACTGTATCTATTCTACTGTGTATAAATCTGGGAATAAAAGATATAAAAATACTCTATAGCCAATAATCACACTTCAGAAAAAAGCAATAAGGATATTTAATAGAGTTAGATTAAAAACACACTCTTTACAAAATCATGTACATGAAATAAACCCAGCAGATAATGTTCACATAATGCAAAAATATTCAAAAATAATCCCCAGAAAGAGAAGGAGGGAGTGATTTAAAGTTAGATATGAATAAAATAAGAACAACATTGAAATGCATGTGAACATCAACCTTTGTGAAACTTCAACTAAAGAAAGGAAACAATAATATATTTATATAACAATATAATCAAAGTTATATAAATATAAAACTATTTTTAAATAAAATAAAATGGTATATATTATTCTTAGTTTATATTTACATGTTTATATTGAAGAACAATAACAATGTAAATTTTCTCACATCTTTTTGAACAAATTCAGTAAAATTATTGATTCTTAAGCTGCAAAAATGTTTTTTTATTAATAAATGTTTAATAAATGTGTTTCTGCTTCTTTAGATTTATTTTTTCAAAATAAAGAAATTCACATTCAGAGCATGAAGATATAAACTGTAACAGCTGAAGAAACCAATGTTGGGTCAACTGGAGCAGTGATCCCAACCCTGGTCCTCAGAGCCCAAAGTCCTGCAGGCTTTAGGACTTTCCCTGTAGCCACATGAATGATTCAGTGATTAAAATCCTCTGCAGAACCTGATGGGCTGCAGAGGAGCTCATGCAACCATTGCAATCAAGTGTTAGAGCAAAGTCACATTCACATCATGGAGGATGTTGGCTCTGAGGATGAAGGTTGGGGATCTGGACCAGAACGATCCACAAGCCTCACTGAGTTTGGTTCTTCTTTAAGGTCTGGAGATCCGTTCATCTTCTGCTTCCTTAAATAGAAACCAAGAACCAAACCAATAATCAGTGCAACGATCAGTAGGCCTCCAATCATCGGTCCAATATGTTTGTTTTTGCTTCCATCTTCTTTTCTTTCCTCCTTGTTTTCTGAAAAACAGAATCAGAGCTGAAGGTCAGAATCCATTTCTCTTCATCTGCTGCTCTCAGACCAGCTGCTTTCTGCAGCAGCTTTAGGAAACACAATCATCTGGTCAGAACCAGAACCACATCTGGCCTTAAAGGGATATTCCCCCTCAGATTAGCCGCAGCCACACAGAGACTCTAAAGACATTTTAGAGTAAGAAGATTCGCTGATCTGAACATTAAAGCACTTTATGCAGCTTCCTTCTTTCACTGGAATATAGAAACCAGGAAAACTCACCTGTAGGAGGCGCTACATCCAGGTAGACGATCTGGATGAGTTTCATCTTCTTGCTTTCTTCTCTCTGTAAAACTCGACACTCGTATTTTCCTGTGTCGCTGGTTTTCACGTCGCTCAGAAGCAAAGACACGTCTCCGTCCTCCATCCGTCTGTCCTGCAGATCCACCCGGTTCCTAAAAGATGGATGCTGGTTCTCTGGATCCAGCTGCTCATCTCTGAACAGCAGAACATATTCTGGTTCCAGGTCCGGTCGGGTCCACTGCACAACCACAGCAGGTTTGTTGTTGGGGAGTCGGCATGGCAGAGAGACTTTCTGTCCAGGAACAGCTGAGATGTTTTTATAAACTACAGGACAGAGAAACAGAGCAGAAAGGTCAGAGGTCAAAGTGAACCGGTCCACTTCTACAGATCAGCTGAATTCCCAGGTGGATTTGGTCTAGAATCATCACTCTATGCTGAGGTCGACCTTCTGACCTCTAGAGCTTAGAGATGTGATCAAACATGAGCTTTAATACAGAGAAGCTAAAACATTTAACTAATGAATAGATTAATTTATGCTCAATAAAGACCTAAAAAGTTTAAAGAAAGTTAAAAAAAACTCTGACCAAATAACTCACCGCTGAGTCGACATCCTGCCTTGTTGGATCCATCTTCAGTTTTTACGTCACACAGATACCGACCAGAGTCTTCAGTCCTCAGTCTGGACACATGGAGTCTGATTCGTCCTTCTCTGAGGACGTCTTTGTCGCTCTGGACTCGTCCTGAAAACTGTTTATCCTGAGACTCTGGAATCTCAACTCCTTCATTAACCTCATAGAGAACTAGTTCTGTATCAAGAGTCTCCAAGCTGCAGAAGATGAACAGTTGCTTCCAGGTTCCCTGAGTCTTGGTGGTGAAGGTCCACTCCAGAGTGATGCTCTGCTTCTCCTCTGCCTGATAGCTGCTCTGTGTCACATTCACTACAAATGTTGCTGCTGAGGAGACAGAGGGAAAGAGAGGAGCAGACACACTGAGAACTGGAACATGGGAGTCTTTCAGCTCCATCTAGAGAGCTTTCTGTCACAAAGACAAGATGGAGACTGACCACAGAGACATGAGCTGAGGATGAGGAGCAGCAGGATGCTGGACATCATCTTCATCCTGAGAGAGGAAGAGGAGGAGAGGCAGCACAACATCAGGAACATCTGGAACAATACAAGGAACAACTAAAATATCTGGTCTTTCCTCAGGCACATTAGTTTCTATTTGTTTTTCTTCATTCTCATATATTTTATAATCTATTATTTTCCAACATAATAATTGTAAACATTATGATTCTCACATGATCAACTGTGAATGCAGCTCCTGCACTGAGTCTGTTGCTGCTCTGCTCTGATCAACCTGCTGGCAGAAACAGCAGTGAACTGAACTGACAGGCTGAGACTTTATATACTGGTCCAACTTCTTTACACAAATCGGGTTTCTGTGTAAAATTCACCGATTGGACGGACAACCTTACCCTATTGAATACCATGCAATGGGCAGTTTTTACACAGAAAGCCATCATTTGCATTCTGTGTAAGGACCGCCCATCTTTACACAGAATGACACAAACGGTGTGATCACAGGTAAACCTCACAGGTCTGCTGCTCACACCTGATCAACTGTGAAACGTACCGTCTGCTAAACACTGATGTCGGCTGGACAACAGTGAACTAAATTTCCTGGTTTTCTTGACAGAATGCAAATGATGACTTTCTGTATAAATAATATCTATTGGATGGCATTCAATAGGCGTTCTTTACATAGAAAGCCTGTGAGCACAGGTAACTGGTCAGAGGAACCAATGCTCACAGTTCCTGTTTCTGTGCTCACAGCTACTGTCAGCCCAGACCTCGGCTGACAGTAGCTGTGCCTTCAGTGTCAAAAACGCCCATTTAATGCCATCCAATAGGCTTTCTTCACACAGAAAAGACACAAACCATGTCATCTTAGACACAGGTACTGTGTTCATAGTTACCTGTGTTCATAGGCACTGGTACTGTGAGCCCAATAGTGCCTATGAACACAGGCTGTCTGTGTAAAGAACGCCTATTGAATGCGATCCAATAGGCGTTCTTTACACAGAAAGCCATCATTTGCATTCTGTGTCAAGAAAACCCGGAAATTTAGTTCACTGTTGTCCAGCCAACATCAGTGTTTAGCAGACGGTACGTTCACAGTTGATCAGGTGAGCAGCAGAAACCTGTTTTATTTAATTGTTGGTCATTTATTGAGACAATCTGAGGACATTGGACGGAGGAGCAAACGCTCCACGGACGGAGGTCCCAGCAGTGACCTGGCTCTCCGGGTGAGGCAGGAGGAAGGAGCTGCAGGGCGGGGATCCGCTCTGAGCACCAGAGCTGCTCAGAAGAACCGGACGGATCCGAACCGTGTAGGGAGTCAACTTTTAAACATCCAGAGACTTTGTTTTAATATCCTTGTTCTTATCATCTTTAGTTTAATGTAATTGAGAAATTGTATGTATTAAAAGAAAAGTGACAAATGTCTATATAACTGCACAATGCCATGTTTTAACAAATGTCCCAAGTAGCAATAACATATTTTGAAAGAAAGGAAAAAATTAAATCCATGTGTCTTTACTGCATTGAGGTGATGTTTCGTACGCAGGCAAAATAAATCCAATTCCCAAAACTTGAAGGTTGTTTTTAGTTTATTTTTCTGTTTACTGGAAAATCAAATGTTTTCTGCTTCTTCTTCTGCTCTGGTGAAGAAAAAAAAACAAAACCCAGTGCTCCTGAACCACTCCCTGTAGTTATAGAAAACGGACCAACAGTTCTTCCTCTCACACTTAGAAAAATCTACAAATAAACTTTGTAAATCTCAAAATATAAAGAAAGAATGAATTACTGTAATTTGTAGAATTCACTCACTGATATTTTCTCCTCATGAATTATAACAGACTGATTTTCTGAAGATGTTTTATAATGACACATTTTATGAGCTGCAGAGAAACAAAACGTCCACAAGTCTCACTTCGTCATTATCACCACAGGGGGCAGTAGTGATCATTAAAACGTTTTTATTTTTCTGCACATTTTCTATTTATTTTAGTTTTTTTTTATTTCTTGCATTTGTAAACCACAAGTTACTTTAAAACACACCCGATAATAGTAAAAGACAGGTAATTGAATTTACTTAGTTGGGCCGGATCAAAAGACTCTGAATTCTCGGGAGCCTAGGTGTGAATAACAAGGGAGTGCACAAAGTGTTAATAAGAAAGAGTAAAATTTAATAATATAAACAATTGTGGATCCACATGTACAATGGTAACAAAATTGCGCGTTTTTGTTTTTTTTTTAACAACAGTCGTTTCAATGTATCAGTCAATTCAGTGTTTGTCCAGTCTCTTCCAATGTGGCAGTCAATTCTCTTCAGTATTTCAAGGACAGTGACCAGTCGGGTCACTATCTACCATCTCACTGGGTTTTCTGGACTGGGACTCGCCATCCCAATTCAGGAGAACTGGGTCTTGAAGTCTCTGGGCACTCCAGGCCAAAAGTGCACCGAAACATGGGAAAGAAGAAAAAACAATACAAACCTGACCTGGAACAAGGCCAAAGTAAAACATCTTAGAATATAAGATGCCAATATCAATTAAACCTATGTATCAATAAATTGTAATTCAGAGGGCTTCCATCATTGCTGAAGTTTTTCTATTCAAGTTGTACAAAAATCATCAGTTTATCAGGATACAACGTTACTTAGACATCAGTAAAACTAAAGAAATTAGCTTAATATGTGGTAAAGAAAAAAAATAAAATCATAATAATTATGATATATTTCACTCTAAAAGTGCCGGTACATCTTCAACACTATAAATTTCTTGTAATGCACGGAAAAAGCACTTAACTGAAATATAATATACAGAACAATAATACAAAATCTTACTGTATTATGTTATTTTTGTTAAATTAGGTCAAATATTACGTATTTTACTGAGCCAACTGCTGAGCGCGTGCGGTCACTCACCGATGCTATGATGCTAACGGGGATTTTTCCCAGTAGCAGCTGCTCTAAAACGACTTTCATAGATAAAAAAAATAATTTACTATTTTCAATTATATATTTTGCGAAACGATACCAATATTGTTTTTCTTACCGTTTGTCCAGATTTTAGAAGCTCTTTCAGGCTCCAACGGAACCAACGGTTAGGTATGAGCTCTCAACCTAGTCTGATGCGTTCTGAGCAGAATCACAGCGCAGTAGTGAAAGGGGCGGGACAATCAACCCCATTGGCTGATGTAATATCAGACCACGCCAGACATTGGTTCTCCAAACCATTAGCGCAACAATCACTAAAGGTCTATTTCACAGTTTTTAAAGATTTTTAGCACTTTTATATTTATATTTTTGAGTAAAACAAAACACAAAATCTATTTATACTTTCCAATCTTGTGAAAAAAAAGACATCAAATTAACATCATTAACTTTTCACTTTTGTTTTTAACACTAGATTGCACTTTCATTAATTTATGGTTCATTGATTTGAGACTAAGTTCAGTTACAAACCTTTGATTTATTACATCAAAGCAAATATATTAGTATTAATTGAACATGGGTAAAAGTCCATGCATCTGTCCTGATAACAGTGTTATGTTTTTAAAGAAACCAGAAAGAAGTTTTTTTCTTTCTAGAGTCTTTATGAGGGGAAAACCCCCATAAAGTTTTAAAGTCTATTATTGTTAAACTCCAGTGACAAAATAATATTTGTGTGTAAATAATTGTGACATTTTAGTTTTAAAGTTCCTTAAGTTCTAATGTAGCTGTTAAAACTTTCCTCAGAAATTTGCAGCCCGTTTTCTTTTTTTGCACTTTATTATATTTGAAATATAGATGTATATAAATGTGTAAGTTTTAAAGAAACGTCAAGACATTGTAATTAAGACATGAACTAAATATAATCATTTAGTTCAGAGTTTTTTTCTGAAATTTTATTGAAATTATCAAAATAAACATTTTTGCTAATTTGTGTCATAGTTTTATGTTTTCACATTTTCTCAGCAAAGTTGATCAAAACTATTTTCTAATTCATAGTTTCATCTTTTCCCATTTCATTAGAACAAAGAAACAGTCATTTTTAGTGATTTAGAGCTTCAGGAAATAAAAGCGGACGGCTGCACAGTGGAGCAGTTGGTAGCTCTGTTGCCTTGCAGCAAGAAGGTCCTGGGTTTGATTCCCGTTGTCTTTCTGCTTGGAGTTTGTATATTCTGAGTTTGCATGTTCTCCCTGTGCATGGTGGGTTCCCTCCAGGGTCACCGGCTTCCTCCCACAGTCCAAAAACATGACTGTCAGGTTAATTCGTCTCTCTAAATTCTCCCTCGGTGTGTGTGTGTGTGTGGGGGGTTGCGTGTGTGTGTGTGTGTGTGTGTGTGTGTGTGTGTGTGTGTGTGTGTGTGTGTGTGTGTGTGTGTGTGTGTGTGTGTGTGTATGGTTGTTTGTCTTGTCTGGACCCTGCGACAGACTGGCGACCTGTCCAGGTGACCCCTGCCTCTCATCTGCAGCTGGATAGAAAATAGATGGAAGAAAGCAGAGCTGCTGTTTTGTCCACATGGTGGCGCTCTAAGCTCTGACTAAAAGCTGCTCAGCAGTGAAAGTTAATATTTCTCCTCCTTTCTATCTTTATTCAGTTCTGATGTGAAAATACAGATGCAACACAGATGGTTGCTCATGCAACCATTGCAATCAAGTGTTAGAGCAAAGTCACATTCACATCATGGAGGATGTTGGGCTCTGAGGATGAAGGTTGGGGATCTGGACCAGAATGATCCACAAGCCTCACTGAGTTTGGTTCTTCTTTAAGATCCGTTCATCTTCTGCTTCCTTAAATAGAAACCAAGAACCAAACCAATAATCAGTGCAACGATCAGTAGGCCTCCAATCATCGGTCCAATATGTTTGTTTTTGCTTCCATCTTCTTTTCTTTCCTCTTGTTTTCTGTAAAACAGAATCAGAGCTGAAGGTCAAAATCCATTTCTCTTCATCTGCTGCTCTCAGATCAGCTGCTTTCTGCAGCAGCTTTAGGAAACACAATCATCTGGTCAGAACCAGAACCACATCTGGCCTTAAAGGGATATTCCCCCTCAGATTAGCCGCAGCCACACAGAGACTCTAAAGACATTTTCACCTGTAAGAAGATTCACTGATCTGAACATTAAAACACTTTATGCAGCTTCCTTCTTTCACTGGAATATAGAAACCAGGAAAACTCACCTGTAGGAGGCGCCACAACCAGGAAGACGATCCCAATGGGGTCAGAGGTCAAATTGTATATCTTTCTTCCGGTTGCTTCTCTCTGTAAAACTCGACACTCGTATTTTCCTGTGTCGCTGGTTTTCACGTTGCTCAGAAGCAAAGTCACGTCTCCGTCCTCCATCCGTCTGTCCTGCAGATCCACCCGGTTCCTAAAAGATGGATGCTGGTTCTCTGGATCCAGCTGCTCATCTCTGAACCGGAGGACATATTCTGGTTCCAGCTCCGGACGGGTCCACTTCACAAACACAACAGGTTTGTTGTTGGGGAGTCGGCATGGCAGGGAGACTTTCTGTCCAGGAACAGCTGAGATGTTTTTATGAACTACAGGACAGAGAAAACAGAGCAGAAAGGTCAGAGGTCAAAGTGAACCGGTCCACTTCTACAGCAGCAGCAGAGACACTGGACTATGACCTGGATTGGAACAACGGATCAGGGCGCAGTTTCCACACTAAAAGTTGGCGTAGTACAAATTTATGAAAGTGTGCTGCACAAAAACTTTGAATGCATAAAGTCGTGCGTCTTTCCTTTATAAATCCCAATTTGCAGGAAATAGACAGCAGCTGCTGGTCGCCTCGTCGTCTCCATAAATGCAAATGTAAATGAATAGAAACACCCAGAAATCTGCCACCACGTGAACCAATACATGGCAACGTCCTTGATTGTTAGTATCCATCCATCCATCCATCCATCCATCCCATCCATCCATCCATCCATCCATCCATCCATCCATCCATCCATCCATCCATCCATCCAGCCATTCATCCATCCATCCATCCATCCATCCATCCATCCATTTCCATTTCTTACACCCTTGTACCTAAAGGGGTTGGGAGGTGCTGGTGCCTGTCCAGCTACGTTCTGGGCGAGAAGCGGGGTCAGCCTGGACAGGTCGCCAGTCTGTCGCAGGACAATTGTTGTTATAAGTATTTATAATAATAACATATTTTATTTAAAAGGTGCTTTCAGGGCTCTTAAGGTAGCCTCACAAAAATAAAAATAATACATTTTAAATGAAGAACAACTCCAAATACTAAAAAAAAGAAAATAAAGAGCAAAAGCCTGAGCAGCAGATCGTTCAGACAGAGAATCAGAGACTCCATTGAGTGGAAATGTGGACGTTTATTCTAAATAGAGAAATCATATTTACAAGTTTACATTTACAGAATAGAGATGCTGTTTGTCCCTAAAGGTGCTTTCATAAAGCGGGAGTCTGCAGCTGGACCGGTACCGGTACCGGTACCATACCACAAGGCTCCTTTTGCTCAGAGCTCCAGGATGATCAGTCTGGATTAATCTAAACACTAATAAACCATCATCAATATTTCCCCGTCTGTCCTGCAGATCCACCCGTTTCCTAAAAGATGGATGCTGGTATATGATCTCTGATCAATCGCTCCTCTGAATCCTTCCATTGGTGACGTTCTCAATCAGAACCAAAGATCCACAATTTGCAGCTCACATTCATTGTGAACACACCTTGATCATCTTAAAAATAATCCAACCTGTTTGGAGTTAATCTGCTGATCAAAGCCTGTTTTCTGTTTTAGTGAGAATGAATTTATCCATAGATGCATTTCGACCAAAGTCTTTATGAGACAAAACCTGAGGAGACGTAATATTTACATTTTAGTGAGGTTTTCACATACTTTTATTTTCTTTATTTTGTTTGCACGTTAGCTCTGAAGATAAATGTTGATCAGTTTCATCGTTTATGTTTAAACAATGAAACATTAAAATCATAAAACTAACATCATGTTTGATTCTTCTTGGTCTAAATAACTGAATGAAGTCGGATTTCAGTGGATTTAGGTGAGTTTTGACACTATGTAATTTGATATCTTTCACAGAAAACGTTTGCGTGGCACATTTTCATGCCAGGGAAAATGTTTACATAGTTTTAGTGCTGCTCGCTTTATACATGAGGCCCCTGGACCTCAACACAAGAACTGTTGTTAGAATCAGAAATAATTTGCTTCAAATTATCTAACAAATATTTTTGTTATTTGTTGATGAATGTATTTTATTCAGTTATTCAAACTTTTCAGTTGGTTTAAATCCCTTTTTGATTAAGTAATCTTGGATCTATAAGATATGTTGTTTCTAAAAAAACCCAAAACATCTTATTTCTAAAATTTATCACTATTTCCTAACTCCTGACTCTGGTTGGTTGAGTTTTATTTGCTTACAGATGAACATAGAAGTGCTGCATGTTTTGCTCTCAGCAGAAAATCCACTGAACCCTTTACTTTCATCAGCCTGTGGAAATGTGTTGTTACATCAGTCCAGTCCTTTACATGGCCGTACTCAGGATGAATCTACTAAATAGTTTCTACTTATACTCAACAAAGACCTAAAAAGTTAAAAGAAACATGAAAAAAAAAAAACTCTGACCGAATAACTCACTGTTGAGTCGACAATCTGCTTTGTTGAATCCATCTCCAGTTTTCACGTTGCACAGATACAGACCAGAGTCTTCAGTCCTCAGTCTGGACACATGGAGTCTGATTCGTCCTTCTCTGAGGACGTTTTTGTCGCTCTGGACTCGTCCTGAAAACTGATCATCCTGAGACTCTGAAATCTCAAGTCCATTATGGACCTGATAGAGAACTCGTTCTTTTCTAAGAGTTAACAAAATGCAGTAGATGAACAGTTGCCTCCAGGTTCCCTGAGTCTTGGTGGTGAAGGTCCACTCCAGAGTGATGTTCTGCTTCTCCTCTGCCTGATAGCTGCTCTGTGTCACATTCACTACAAATGTTGCTGCTGAGGAGACAGAGAGGGAAAGAGAGGAGCAGACACACTGAGAACTGGAACATGGGAGTCTTTCAGCTCCATCTAGAGAGCTTTCTGTCACAAAGACAAGATGGAGACTGACCACAGAGACATGAGCTGAGGATGAGGAGCAGCAGGATGCTGGACATCATCTTCATCCTGAGAGAGGAAGAGGAGGACTATCAGTGAACGCACCATTTCTCTGCTGTTTCTCCCTCAGTGTGCAGACCATTCTGTGAACCTTCCTGGACCAGACCCTTTACCTCACTGTCATCACTGAAAACATTTATTGTTATAATAAACTCACTTTACACTATAACTCAACTTCTCCTGTATTGTGTTCTGCATGTGGGCTAGAAACTTAACACCCAATATGACATCCTCTCTTCACTGACAATGTGAGAGATGTATAAAAGAGTTTACACACGTTTCAGACGCTCACTGACAATTAAAAACATTTTCTCATGAAACTTCAGGTAAAAGTTTATTTAACGGCTCAGATGAAAAGTTCTGATCAAAACACTGACAGGAAATAGATCCAGTGATATCAGATCTGCTAATTATTCCTAGAAACCTGAGACGTCCTTCATGCTCTGAGTTAAAGTTCAGTTTAAAACATTTCCATAAAACATTATAAATGGCTCATACTTTTATGACTCTGTTTCAAGTCCAGTTGAATCCAATTTGCTTCACACTGCATTCAGTCACTCATCCATTCACACACTGATGGTGATAAATACATGACAATAACAGCCTCAGCTGCCCTGGAGCAATTTGGCAGAGGCGACTGTGGACCGGTGCCACTGGCAGGTGAAGTGCCTTGCTCAAGGACACTAAGAAAGAAGCAGATTGCCCCAGCAACATGCTAATTTCAGGACAAACTCCTAATATTGTCGTCACCACTGGTCTCTCTAAACACATAAAGTGAAACAGAATAAATTCATCTGAGTAACATAATAGCAGATCTTTGTTTCTGGTCCAGAAATCATTTGGAAATGATTTAAAACATGAATCTGAAGCAAAGCAATAAACGACTTAAAGTCATTATTATAATCTAATATGTCAAACAGAACAAGTTCAAATAAATCTGTTCTTTGTCAAGAAGTTTGGTTTCTTTTTCTCCTTTTCTTTCTGAATCAAATAGTCTATATTATAATTAAAGCCATTACTACGGTGGCCCTGAGGTGCAGACCACTTCAACAAATTCAAAAACAACATTAACAAAATGGAAAGGGTGTGTCCCAGTTGGAGACCTGAGAAATGGACAATAGGCATGATTACATATATGCTGAGTCCTGCTTATGTTACCATTATCGTGATAGTAGCAGTAGAGAAAATGTGCTGCATGGACTAGTTTCAACAGTTGTACAGTACAAAGTCGCCCACTGCCTCTAACTTTCACAGGTCTAATATGTGGAAACCTTGTGTTTGTGTTGAACCTTCCTGCATTCAGCCTTTTGTTTAATATGAACTCAGATTTCCATTAAATCAATTTTGTGCAAAATAAATGACATTATGATTCAGAGATTTCATTTTCATCTACATGTTTTAATGCTGCAGTCATGGACCTAAAACCTTTTTTCACAGCTAATCAATAAATGATGAGCAACTTATTTAACCTGATTCCTTCTTTATCATGTTTACAGTTTTGGTTCAAGGTTCAGTTTGGCTCATCTTAAAATCTACACCATGTTCTTCAGCAGTTCATCTCAATTAATGATAGAAAATCTTTGTTTCTATTATTGTCTGTGGTTCAGATTCTCTAAAAGTGTCAGAAACCAGAAAGTCAACTGATTATTTTAAATGCATCTGATAAACAATAGAAAAAAGATTTTTATCATTTTAACAAGTTCTAGTGAGTCAACAACACTAATGATTATCAAGCTGTTAAATATTTTAACAAAGTTCATCTTAAAAGAGTCAGAATAAAAACTGAACAACAATAAACTAGAAACAGACTGACTCACCTGTAACCTGGTGGATAAAACATGTGGAGCGTTAAGTTGTGATCTTTGCTGTTCACCGGAGAGTTTCTGTTTGGCTTTACGTCACAGTGAAGGCAGAACAAGGGTGAAGATCGCAATAGAAACTTTCATGTTACTTGGTTCTGCTAGTCCTGTCAGGCTACCTTCCTGTACTTGTTTCATCTTGTCTTGCTCTGGTTAATAAAACAGCCTCATGCTTCACAAACATGTTCCAGCCCTTTATATTAAATCCACTTCCTTGAACTGTTTTTATCTTTCTACAATTAATTATTTCATACAATTCTAAACACATTTTCAGCCACTAAAGCTGATTTTCCACTTTGATTTTTCTCTGAACTTTAATATGAACATGAAGGTGAACATGATTAAAGTCCAGATGTTAGAAAACAAAAATAACTCAGAATCCTTCAATCTAATAATGTGAAAAATAACCAGTTAATGATGCAAACAGGTTTAGAAGATTCAAATCAATAACAAACAGAAATCATCCAAATAAGGGAGAATAAGAGCTGATGGACCATTAATGCACAAAAACTTCATGCTGTGAAACAAAAGAGACTAAAATAAAAATTAAAAATCTTATTAGTTGAGTAAAATTTAACCGATATAAAAAACAGAAATAGAACATAACATTTTAATAATAATAGAAATCAAAATAATGCTGTAGCCAATTAAAGAGAATATTTAATAGGATAAAATAAAACTGGATAAAAAACAAAATGGCGCATCAGGTCGAAGAGAATTATGGAAGTCCATGTAAAAGTCCAGCCTGCTGCTGCCGTTACATCAATCAATAGCACATTTATCTGATCCTCTATTGTTTTTTAAATAGAAAAATGTTCTGCTACTCTTTCACACTGACGATGAGACTCAGTTTAATTATTGAAACTGAAACAAAAACAAAAAAATCCCCCATCTGCAGTGATGTTGACAGTTAAATCTGTGCCCCAGGGTGAGAGATGACTGTTTGCTGTGTACAGTGGAGTCTAAACCTAAAACTTCCTTGGTGCTCAGAGGAAAAACCCCACAGAACAAACCTGCTTCCTCCTTTTATTCTTTCCTCCAGATTGAGCTGCTAAGGTTACAGCAGATGTTCCCAAAGATTTCCTGGTCCCTCCCTATGGATTAAAATAAAATCCCCCCAAAAAGAAAAAAAAAATCAACTGGACACACATCGTTCAACCAGACATAAACCTTCACACATATTATGTTTTCAAACTCCGCTGAAGTTTATTTCACACATCAGGTTTCAACAAAACAAACTACAAAACATCTTTACAGGGAAACACTTATGTGTAAGTTTTTCATTCGTCCATGCCGCTTCCACGCTGTCTCCTCAGCGGAGGGAGTCGTGTTTTCAAAACCAAAATGTTGTCAGTTCTGAGGACAAGCATGTCAAGAAAGGTAATCTAGCCGTCCAGTCCAAGTCAAGCAGCAGAATTTGACTAAACTGAATGAGATGGAGCTCTGGGAAGGTGAACCAGGCAGGTTCTGCTCCAGAGGAGATAAGAGGATTGTTCATGCTATGGTAACGTTTACACATCCTTTCAAAATAAGATACAGATCCTCTACAAAAACGAACATTTTACTTTTGTGAAAATTTTAACTGAGGATAATAATAATGGAGCCCTGAGGTTGTTTCTCTGCAACAAGACACAGAAGTGATGCTGATGCACAGGGTGTTTGGTCTCTACAGTTTGAAGCTTCATTGCCTCATTAACATCTGGTCACCATATTATGCAGAGCAGCTTGGACTGTGAGAATCACCTACCGGGATAAATCCATTCTCCTGTCTCTTCTCTGGCCTTTTTCCCTTCGCAAAGAAACTTTCCAAAGAATCTGATCTGTTTCTGACTCATTTTGCTCAGCTCGTTTCTGCTCAGCTCGTAACAATACATCACTGGTCTTAATGTTAAACTCTGACAGGAACTCAGTTTCATGTTGAACTGTTCTTCATTGACCTCAATTTGAAACATAAATCATTTTTAAAGTGCTGAGGTTGCACATTGTCTCACAGTAGTGTAATGGTTTTTAATTGGGATTAATTAGTTTGCCTGATAGTTCAGATTGAGATCAAATAATCTCCATGGAGAAACATCAGTGTTTCTTTTATGTCTTGGTTCAAACGACTTCATTTACTTGTTCAGGCTTTTCCTCTCCTAACGTTTCTCATGTTCACTGAGGCCTGAGCAGCAAAGTGAAGATAATTCATCTGATAAATATCAGAGTCTGAACTTCTAGTGAATTTGCTGGGACCAATCAGGTGTTCAATATTCAGAGGTGGATCTATTTAATGATGACTTTGAACTCATTCAAAGATGATTTTTCAACACTTCTGTTCCATATTTAAGTGATTTTGTTTGTTGCTTTGCATTTCTAACAGTTTTTTTATTAAACTTGTAAAAAGTGGCATTAATTTTTTCAGGTGAAATTCTGAAGGTTTTGTAATTTTGCAGAATTGTTTTGTATTTTTCTGTTATTTCCTGATGATCAAACTTTCACATATTGTTAAAAAGTACTTTATCATTTTCATGAGCTGTAAATAATATTTCAATATTTCTCAATAAATCTATATTTACAACCTTGTTGTCTGAGGCTTGTATTAGACAAAGTGATAAATATTCAGATTGGGGATTTGAAACAGTTTCTGTTTTTGCTTCATCCTTTCAGCATTTTTGATAAAATCTCTTGTTTTACATGATGTCATGAGTCCAGTAATTTTAGAAATGTTAATGATTTCCCAGACATTCAGTGGGAAACAAAATGAAGATTGTCTTGCTAAAATATTCTCAATTCATGTTTAGTCAGGTTTCAAACAGCTCCTCCCTTCACTGTGGTTTATTGACATCCTCTTTTCTTTCACTTTCACTTCTCTGTGGTTTATTTTCAGGTTGTCTCTTTTCATCAGGCTGGTTGAAGAGAAGCTTTTACTTCTGATTCAGTTGTTTTTTTTCCTTTCTGGAAACATAATTTCGTCTGAATAATCAATAAAAAGGTGAGCAGCTCTAATATAATCATATTCTTAATGTTTTTAGGTTTTCAGCTTTTGTTACGTTGCTGATCAAGACAGCAGATTAAAATGTTGCTTTGTGTTCAGAAACTAAAATGTTCAAATAAATACTTTATTTGATGCACATTATGCATTTGAATCGTGTTCGGATAGATGTAAGTTTGCAGCTCAGACACAAAGTTAAAAGTCAACAGATGTTTTGTGCAGAAAACCAGGAAATGCAAATATTATCTTGATGAACAAAATGTTTTATATTTAACATCAGAAATAATATTTGAGCTGCTTAATTCAGAATCTGAACCAAAGGACTTCTAGTTGATCTAACATGAACATTATTAATTCACTTGGTTAGAAAGTTTAGGAATAAAACAAAAGAATCGGAAAAGATCAAACGTTGCCGGACAGCTGGTGCCACCTAGTGACAGAAACATGTTACTGCATGTTGCAGAGAAAATCAGGATTTATGTTGAAACTTTTATTCTAAAGTAGAGACTTTAGTTAGTTTGTGATAATAAATGAGACTTGAGACAGTCAACCTTTTTGCATAATTATTATTCAGGTGAATATTTTGACCATAACATTATTTTAGGCTTATTTTCTAACTCCAAGCTGAATCTTAATATCAGGTGATGTGTGGCTTTGGCCTGAACAGATCAATAATTGTGAACATAGATATTCCTCCAATCATGGCTCTACTTACACATTCAATCTTGAACATTCATGTTTGAAGTAAATTAATATTAAAGATTAAATGAGAATCTTTAGTTTCTGATAATGGTCCAAACTAAAACTTGCCCAGTTATTGTGCAGACAGTGTATTTTTATCACTGATAATCAGATTAATCTTGAGGATTAGATTAACTAGACGACATCAGAATGTAGATGATTTGTTTCTAACTGCATCTCAGTGACTCTTCCATTTACATTAATATTATTAACATTTATTTGGAAGGATAAATATTTTCATTTGTAACATGTTTTAGTGTCTCTGTGTAATGAGAGATTGAAAATAATCACTGTAATATAGAAATATATGGTTTAGTTTTGTTGTCTCTTGAATTTTTTTTTTTTTTTTCTAAAAACTGCAGCTTTGTTATAAAATAAACAACTAACAATCAAAAGGAGGACAGAAGAAATGGAGGAATGTTTAAGCCGGGAACCAGGTAAATACTCAATATGTTATTATACTCATAAAATTAGTTTAACGTAGTGAGTGATGATGTTCAGCTGTCTCTCCTCCTCTTCCTCTCTCAGGATGAAGATGATGTCCAGCATCCTGCTGCTCCTCATCCTCAGCTCATGTCTCTGTGGTCAGTCTCCATCTTGTCTTTGTGACAGAAAGCTCTCTAGATGGAGCTGAAAGACTCCCATGTTCCAGTTCTCAGTGTGTCTGCTCCTCTCTTTCCCTCTCTGTCTCCTCAGCAGCAACATTTGTAGTGAATGTGACACAGAGCAGCTATCAGGCAGAGGAGAAGCAGAACATCACTCTGGAGTGGACCTTCACCACCAAGACTCAGGGAACCTGGAAGAATCTGTTCATCGTCTGTGAAGTGATCACAGATCATGGAGTCTTAGTTCTCTATCATGTATATAAAGGTGTTGAGTTTCCAGAGTCTCAGGATGATCAGTTTTCAGGACGAGTCCAGAGCGACAAAGACGTCCTCAGAGAAGAACAAATCAGACTCCATGTGTCCAGACTGAGGACTGAAGACTCTGGTCTTTACCAATGTCAAGTCACAGAATATGGATGGGGCTCTGCCAGCCTTCAACTGAACGTTACCAGTAAGTTTAACTCAAAGAGTAAGTCATACTCAGTGTTTTTAAAAGATTTATGACAATAAACAAATATCCTTTAACTTCCTGATTTACCAACAAGTGAACAAATCACCAGGAATTTAGGAACTTAAAACTACAGAGATGACGACGTTTGTTCAATTTTTAATTAGTCAAACCAGAAATCAGGACGAACATTGTACCAAGAGTTTGGCTCATTTAGAAATAATGCAACTGGATAACAGAAACATTGTTTAAAAAACATGATTTCAAAGCAAATTTTAAATGACAACATGGTGGTTTATCTCTTTCTGTCAAGTTATGGTTTCTGGCCAAAACCATGACTGCAGTCATGAAACATTTAGTTTGTCCTTATTTATTATTTGTGGAGAATTTTAGTTGGAGGAAACTTTTAAATCTTTAAGGTTTATGAAAACATTCCCAAAAAGCATTTGAATCATAGAGAAATGACTTCATAAGATTATTTTCAGTGTTATGTTCCCTGCTATGTTTCAACTGGGTGATAGATCAATGTGGATTATTGATTCTCTTTTTCTGAACATTTAATTAGTGAAGAATCTGGATTTTTTTTTCACTAGTGCCTTGATAATGTTAACATGTATCAGGTCTTTGAATTCAGATCAATATTTGCTGTCATTTGTTATTTCACTTTTTGGAAAAAAAGTGAAAAAAATATAATTGGATTTAGAAAGAGACATATTTAGTTGCTACCAAATTGGTAGAAACTACAACTGAACCTTTTGCTGACTTGTTTCAGAAGCTCCTGATGTTGGACCCACAGCGACAACTGAACCCGAGAGGAAAGAAACCTCCCACCTTGGACTGATATTCATTCTTGTGGTTGTATTTGTTCTGATCTTTGGTATTAGTATTATTTACTTTATCAGAAAGAGGAAACGAAAAATTCTGATGAGGTTGAACACCATCAGATCCACAGACCTTGAGGACTTTAATCCTGTGTGACGTCAGTTTTAATCTGAACCAACAAAAGTTTAAGTCCAAGACTCTTCAGGCTTTGGCTGGAACAGAATAACAGACGGTTTTTCCTCAACTTTTTAAAATAAATAAAATACAACCCGGGAGAATATAATACATACTTATTTCATTTTGTGGTTGAATCTTATTAATCAAAAATTATATAGAAATATGTAAAATCTCCTTTTTCTGTGCTCTATCTTTATATTTGTACAAAACATTTTATTTTATAGCACATCACTATTATTTTCTGTTTATACACAATATCTTTGTACAGCTATTTATAAATATTTATCCTGTATAGCACTTCTGGATAGATGTAAATTACATTTCGTGACAGCAATGACAATAAAGTAAAATTTTATTCTATTCGGCTGAACGTTCATTATTTCATTATTTTGCCTTCTTACTGATTATTTGACAAAGTTAGAGTTACGTTGCACTATATTTGTTTTAAAATTTTAAAGCTGCTGCTTTATAACAGATTATTATAATATGTTGTAAATTTCCCAGAACAGGATGCTATTTTATCAATCTTTAGTTTTTATTTGTGATTCTGTATAACATCATCTGTTTTTTGTTTTTTTTTTTACGGTTTTTATTCTCATTTCTGCACTGGAAGAATAGTTTCTAACACAATAAATGTGGATTATTTACGTTATTTATCTTAACATTTAATCTCGACTCCAATTAGTTTTTTCTCATGAAACTTGTCGTGTGGATTAAAGGCAGATTTTTCCTTCACTCTTTCAGTTTTTGCCTCATTTGTGCAACGTTTTCTTCTGTCAAATATTTTCTGTGGCATTTTCTATTGGAAAGTGATTTTGGAGTCTCATCGATGCTTAATGTTTGTGCTCTGATTGAAATGATTTATTACGGCTCGTATTTTTTTTTGCTAGTATTTTTCCACTAGTAAAATTCAACCTGTTGGTCATCATGTGGATAAAGATGTGAATTTGTTTCTTTAGTCCTGCTGTTGAAAGAAGAGTCATTTTGAGTCTCTGTTCTTCACATCTGCATTAGAATGAAGCATTATGATGATACACAAGACTCATCATGGGATTAAATATATCATCCAATCTGCAGCTGAATTATATAGTTTTATTATAATGAACTATTTTATTAAACTAATCGAATTTCCTTCTTAGATTTTTGACAATAAGAAGTTTATTCTTCCTCAAAGGCTGAAATAACTCTTTAAATGTTAAAATATACTAAAACATTTGCTACAATAGTTTGTGCATGAATTGAACTATAACGCTGTGACTTTCAGTTTCATTCATAAAAACATCACAGTTGCAGTTTTTACTATCTTGTTAATTAAACGTTTCACAAAAAAATAAAAAAAACTCTTTGGTTCTTAATTTGTACCAAAATAATCCTGTCAAATATACAAATAGAAAATACTCTTTACAATGTTGGCAAATATTTATTTCAAATGTTTTTTACACATGTATTTGGTGTTAAAACATTTTCATTTTATGTTTTAATCATTTTTAGTTAACAGGTTTGAGTCTTTGTTTAATTTAACTTGAGCAGAAAAACCAGTTTGTAACCTGAGAGTTAAACCTTCATGTTGTCAACACAGGCAAAGCTCCTCCCAGGTTTCAGTCACGAGTGAATCTGATGCAACAGATGCAGAAAATGAAATAATTTATGGGACTTTCCTCATTCTCAGTCACTGCCTGTTTGTCTCTCTTACTGAAAATAACAATCACAGTGAGGAGGATCAGCTCACGACTCGACTACAAAGTAAGTATCTGAAACTTCACAGTCTGTGTCTTTATATTTTTAATTGTCACACACTATTATTGTTTAAAGCAGTGACTGATGCAGTATCACAGATCAGAGAGTTAATCCATTTTACTGTAAAACAGATTTAATGCAGTCGCTGCTATTTCTGTTCAGTAGAAAACAAACTTGGTGATTTTCAGATGCTTGTTTGATGTAAATATTGAAAAATGTTTCTTCATCTTAAGAGAAATTATTCTGTATGTTCTAAAAAGAAAATTAGGAAAGAAATGTGTAAATAAAAGATGAACTTAAGCGCTCTACAAAAATGTGCTTTGTTTCCACTGGCATTCAGTTTTTTATGTTTATCTTTCCAATTTGTTCTACATTTACAGAAATTAATAATCATGCAGTGAAATCATTAAGATGTTTAATATGTTAATGTGACTGCTATAATACATTAAATTAAACTTTCTACATGGTTTTTATTGAACTAAAGTTTCATTTTTCTCTCTCTTGTTCTTTCACAATAACCTGATTAGCAACTAAACGGTTTTATAATCTGTGTAAAAAGCTGAGAGAGTTCATTTTTATGTTCTCTAAAACAAACATTAACCTGAATGAGGTTTAAAGTTCAGAAATGTTCTGGTATCATTTCAGGTCAATTGAGAGCGATGAATCCAGAGGAAGAGCCACAGTCACACCTGTTTCTCTGGTTTGCATCACGTTACCACGAGTTCTTGGACATCGGCTACAGCTGATAAACAGAAACAAACCAACTGCTCTGACGGTTCCTGGACAAACTGCAGGTGGAGAATTCAAAACATCTGACACCAACATTTCACCGTCATCTTCCAACTCAGTGGAAAGTTTTTTATTCGAGTCACTATGAGAATGAATGTTCTGAGTTTGTTCCTGCTGAGAGAAACTTCTCTGGTTTTTATTTGTTGCTGCGTTTCAGCAGATCCAATAATAAAATCATTTCCTGTTTTCATCAGTTTATTGGAAACAAATAAAGTAAATAAATAAAGATTCTCCTTTCAAAACACATCAAGAAGTGAGAATAAGAACCAGTAATGCTACCGACTGTAATAGTTAAAATATCCAGCAACGAAGCCGATTTTTACTTTTAAAAGTTTATTCTGTGTTTGAATTTGTTTTCAGTTAATTAATTTACAGAAATTAGGTAAACAGTCTTTTTACTGAAAAAGATATTATTGACCTTATTGTTAAAATGAAACTGAACTTTATGTGGTAAAGGCCTGTGAAATTATACATCATTAATTAATTGACATTTTCTGATTCCTGGTTAATTACATGATTTTAATGTAATGAGATATTCATTTTTTAGTAATTAATTTTCCCTTTTGGGCTTTAGCTCTTATAGCTGAAAGATCGATAGCTTCCTAACAATTATTCAACAACCATAAATTAAACTTTTCTGTTACTAAAACACTGAAAAGTTCCTCTTTGTTTTGCAGAAACGTCTCTTTGGTTTTTGTTCTTCTGACCCTGAGAAAATGAGTTTATTCTTCTTCCTCCTTCACCTAACCTGCACTGTGCAGGGTGAGTTTCTACATTTCATGCAAACTCAGGTTTTCTTGTTGCTGCTCTCAGAGTCACATCTTCCTTGTGGTGACACAGTTAACATAGTTGACGTTTCTCTGCAGGAATATTTACAGGCGAAAACCCTCCATCTGTTTACGAAACAGAAGAAGACGACAACTTCACCCTCAACTGGGACAACCTGACCCAAACCAACACGACCCTCACCAAAATGATCTGTTTTCTCCTGCTGAGTCCTCCTAAAGTCCTGTATCGAAAGATAAGTGGCGCTGAGTCTCAGGATGGACAGTTTTCAGGACGAGTTCAGAGTGATGGGACAGAAGGACGACTCAGACTCCACCTGTCCAGACTGAGGACCGAAGACTCTGGATGTTACCGCTGTGACCTGGCTGCCTATAACCAGCTGTTGAGGAAATGGGAGCTGCAGACTTCAGGTAACTCAGCGGATTTTACTCTCTGCTTGCAGCTCATAAATCCTGATCTCCGTCGGTCATCGTGGGTAAAACTGTTTTCTCCTACAGTAACGTTTGTCCTGAACGTGACCAAAACCTCTCGTGGAGAAACGCCTGCGTCTCTGAACACAACAAAGCCTCGCCTCACCGCTACTCCAGGTGGGTGGGCTGTGACCATGGCCACCATAATTATCCCCATGCAGACTGCAGCCTTATCAATGATCTGAAGAAATTTGGTTTATGGGGAGGCATTTGCAAAAACAATAACTTCAAGAAACGTTATTAATCAGGTTGAAATGTGATCATCTGCATTAGAGTCAACGTTCATCTTGTCAGCAATATTTCAAATGCAGCACATGTTGTATAAAAAACACTTTGTGTCTTCTTTCAGAAAATCCAAATCGTCAAATAGTCATGGTTATACTTGTCACAGTTCTGCTAGTTTTCTTGCTGCTTGGCGTTGCGATTCTGGCCTGTAGACTTTTTGGACGACAATGCACAGGTGGGTGTTGTTCACTGTCTCTGATGGACCTGTTCTGTGTTTTGTTGTTGGTCCACATTGACTCCAGTGTGTTTCCAATCCTACAGGTGTAAACAGAAATATGGATGAATTAAAGGACATACAAATAAACGGGAATGATTTTGAAGAGATGAACCTTATGATCAGCCTCTGAGCTGATCATCTTCCATCCACATCTGCTCCAGATGTTCACCAATCATCTCTTTGATTTTTGGCTCCAGAGACTCTTCTAACAATTACCATCAGTTTATGGAATAGAAACTGCCTGAGTGTATTTATTTATCCTGACAATTTCCTTCTTCTCTGATCAATTTTAATGGCGTTTCTGACAAAAAGTGGAATTTTGCAAAACTGAAATGTATTTACTCAACCCATCAAAGCAGTTATGTGTGTGTATGTATATATATATATATATATATATATATATATATATATATATATATATATATATATATATATATATATATATATATATATATATATATATATATATATATATATATATATATATATATATATATATATATATATATATATATATATATATATATATATATATATATATATATATATATATATATATATATATATATATATATATATATATATATATATATATAGCCTAGATGGCATTGAATCATTTAACTAAATATTAATGTTCTTAGGGTTTCATTGATCAACTTTTAGGGTTTGCTTAATTTTGATTAGCAAAGTTATGTTTTATGTTACTGCTCATATTTGATGTAAGATATGTTTTACAGTTTACTTTAAAAATTAAAATGAAGAAAAGAACTTATCTTTCTGAATGAAAAGTTATTTATCAAGAAAAGGAAGGTGGTTTTCCTCTCAGCTCTTTCTATTGCAAGAATAAGGACAGTAAGAAGACATGCTCAGTGTTTCAGTCTGATTTGTTCTTTTACAGTCACTCACTACCTACTGAAACTTTAGTTAATGCAAAGTTTCTCACTGAGTTCCAGTAGAGTGAAAATACAATCATAAAATTATACAAACTAAAGAAACAAATTTCTAAAACGACACTAACAACGAACCTCTCAATAACATTTAATTTACTTTTTATCACAATATTCGATAGTAGTGAATATTGAAGGCGAAGGAACAAAGAGGAAAAGTCAAAGCAGAACCAAAAGTCCGAGCCACAAATGAATATTAAGAAGAAATGGCAGGAATAGGAATAGAGGAAGCAATGCAAGATAAATTTACAATGTTTTATGAAGGTCCAATCTAAACTAGATGCACTTACAGTCTGTATGATAGTTTATTAATTTTATTATTGTATTTATTTTATTATTTATTATTTTATATAATACATGTTAGAATTAATAGATGTTTAATGACATCTTGTCCTTTATTATTGTAATCTAATGCAAAGTTACAGATTGACCAGCAGATGTCGCCCTATTCAAACGAATCAAAATGCTGGAATCAATTCAACATTTCTGCTATTAGTGAAACAGACTATCAGAAGGGTCAGAATAAACCGAGAAAGATGAGATTCTTTAAGTTTTGCAACCAGATGCTGCAGATCTTCTATAAGTCTGATGTTGAGAACCTAATCGGTTCTGCTGGAGCAGCAGCATCATAATGG